TCACAACAGGCACAAGAATTTACCATAAAAACGGTAAAATAGCAGGTCATTCATGGATAGGGCAAAACGAAGTCACAAATCATTAATACTACACAGAATCTATTTCGGACAACACCTCAATCAACAATTTTTATAACATTCATTTGAAATCTAAATAATCTGAAATTTTACAGTATGGTTCTCAACATAATCATTGATCAACACAAAAATTTTCATAATTTTCGGAACATATTAGGCAAGGCAAATATCGAATCCAACTCGCTGCAGATACATGAATTCGAATTGTATAATCTTACCACTCTCTAGCCATGCTTTTAAACATTAATCACTGAGCCTAAACCACACGAAATTACATATAACAGTACATATATAAGCATATAATATCGGCCAAAATCTAAGGTAGAAATGCTAGGGCTTGCACCTTTCTTTCGTGGCTGGAACAAGGCAAAGCTCGGTCGGCTCTTGTTGGCTCAAAATGTCTGTTAAACAATGGTGTGAATGGTGTCGATGGCTTCAAGGGGTGCTGCGGCAAAACCTTTAAGGCTAGGGAAAATATTTCCTGATCTTTTAGAAAGCAAATGAAGAGGGTGTCTTGCTGGAGTAGGGCCTTAAATAGAGCCCAAAAATATAGTTCAAAAATTGAAAATGTGGTGAGGGGCGTGTGGGATAAACTCCTACTTTGAGGGGAATGGTTTCTTGACCTATTCTTGGAGTTGTAGGTGGCGGTTTGAAAATGAGGAGGTGATGGAGTAAGGTGTTTGATGGTTAGAAACTTAAGGGGTTGTTGGGATTTCTTGTGATAGGCTTGAGCTTGAAATTCCAATTTTGAAGAAACGAAAATCCTAGGGCCGAGGGATAACATATGTATATACGTCCACTTAGGAAAACATTTTAGGCAACAACAATAAATTATCAAATAGCACACTAAATATATTTAAATTTAATACATAAAGCAAACTTACACTCAATCACATTTAGAATAAAATGGACATATTGAAAAATAATTCTAAGCCATAGGAAAGAACACTCACACATGGATCATATGTAAAATTGTTCTAAGGCATATAAATGATACTAAGGCACAAAATAGTTCTAAGGCATGAACCACATACACAACACATATATACATATATGGAAAAATAATACTAAGACATGAATAATCTATCACATCAAATAACAATAACAAATAAATGTCTAAGGCGTAAAATCACATTTTTAAGGAATTTCATTAGAAAAATAAATTATCACATAATCACATTGACATTTAAATTCATCAAGTAAACATATAAATCATATAAGGCAATTAAAGACAATTCGAGATTGCAATTTTGTAGTCGAGCAAATGCACTATGATCAATAAAAATGAAATGGGGCGTTACACGTTTTGAAGAAAAATCGTATACATTTAAAGAAGTCAAGGACAATACGAGTAAATAGGAACAAAAGTGAAAAAAATAATCAACGTCTCCGGAAAGACTTGTGTTCGAACACGGCAACATTATTTAATGTGGATAACATATATTTCGTGCCCCATCGCGTTTTGAAGCAAAATCGTATACACTTAAAGAAGTAAAGGAAAATACGAGTAAATATGAACAAAAGGCAAGAAATAATCAACGTCTCCGGAAAGACTTGTTTTCGAACACGACACCATTATTTAATGTGGATAACATATATTTCGTGCCCCCAACGCATTTTGAAGCAAAATTGTATACGTTTAAAGAAGTCAAGGAAAATACGAGAAAATAGGGGCAAAAGGTAAATATAGTCAACGTCTCCAGAAATACTTGTTTTCGAACACAACACCATTATTTGATGTGGATAACATATATTTCGTGCACCATCGTGTTTTGACAAAATTATATACATTTAAAAAGTCAATGAAAGTGCGAGTAAATAGGAGCAAAATGGAAATAAATAAGCAACGTCTCTGAAAAGACTTGTTTTCGAACACGACACTATTATCTTATGTGGATAACATATATTTCGTGCCCCATCGCTTTTTCAAGGGAAATTGTACACATTTAAAAAAGTCAAGGAAAATACGAGTAAATAAGGACAAAATGAAATAATAATCAACGTCTCCGGAAAGACTTGTTTTCGAACACGACACCATTATTTGATGTGGATAACATATATTTCTGCATCATCGCGTTTTGACAAAATCATGTACATTTAAAAAGTCAAGGAAAATACGAGTAAATAGGGGCAAAATGGAAAAAAATAATCAACATCTACGAAAAGACTTGTTTTCGAACACGACACCATTATCTGATGTGGATAACATATATTTCGTGCCCCATCGCGTTTTGAAGCAAAATCGTATACACTTAAAGAAATAAAGGAAAATACGAGTAAATAGGGGCAAAAGGGAAAAAATAATCAACGACTCCAGAAAGACTTGTTTTCTAACACGACACCATTATTTGATGTGGATAACATATATTCCGTGTCCCATCGCATTTTGAAGCAAAATCGAATAGGTTTAAAGAAGTCAAGGAAAATACGAGTAAATAGAGATAAAAGGAAAAAAATAATCAACCTCTCCGAAAAGGTTTGTTTTCGAACACGGCACCATTATTTGATGTGGATAACATATATTTCGTGCCCCATCGCGTTTTGAAGCAAAATCGTTGACATTTAAAGAAGTCAAGGAAAATACGAGTAAATAGGGGCAAAAGGGAAAAAATAAACTCTCCGGAAAGACTTGTTCTCGAACACGAAACCATTATTTGATGTGGATAACATATATTTCGTGCCCCATCGCGTTTTGAATCAAAATCGTATACATTTAAAGAAGCCAAGGAAAATACGAGTAAATAGGGATAAAAGGGAAAAAAATAATCGACGTCTCCGGAAAGCATTGTTTTCGAACACGACACCATTATTTGATTTGGATAATATATATTTCGTGCCCCATCGCATTTTGAAGAAAAATTGAATACGTTAAAAGAAGTCAAGGAAAAAACGAGAAAATAGGGGCAAAAGGAAAAAAATAATCAACGTCTCCGGAAAGACTTGTTTTCGAACGCGTCACCATTATTTGATATGGATAACATATATTTCGTGCACCATCGCGTTTTGACAAAATCCTATACATTTAAAAAAGTCAAGGAGAATACGAGTAAATAGGGGCAAAATGGAAAAAAAAAAATCAACGTCTTCGAAAAGACTTGTTTTCGAACACGACACCATTATTCGATGTGGATAACATATATTTCATTCCCTATCGCTTTTTCAAGCAAAATCGTATACATTTAAAGAAGTCAAGGAAAATACGAGTAAATATAGACAAAAGGGAAAAAATAATCAATGTTTCCGGAAAGACATGTGTTCGAACACGACACCATTATTTGATGTGGATAACATATATTTCGTGCCTCATCGCGTTTTGAAGAAAAATCGTATACATTTAAAGAAGTCAAGGAAAATACGAGTAAATAGGAACAAAAAGGAAAAAAAAATAATCAACGTCTCCAGAAAGACTTGTGTTCGAACACGACAGCATTATTTGATGTGGATAACAAATATTTCGTGCCCCATCGCGTTTTGAAGCAAAATCGTATACACTTAAAGAAGTCAAGGAAAATACGAGTAAATATGGACAAAAGGCAAGTAATAATCAACGTCTCCGGAAAGCATTGTTTTCGAACACAACACCATCATTTGATGTGGATAATATATATTTCGTGCCCCATCGCATTTTGAAGAAAAATTGTATACGTTAAAAGAAGTCAAGGAGAATACGAGAAAATAGGGGCAAAAGGAAAAAAATAATCAACGTCTCCGGAAAGACTTGTTTTCGAACGCGTCACCATTATTTGATATGGATAACATATATTTCGTGCACCAT